GCAACATGTCGTCTGGACCATCCATCCTGGGATCTTAAGGAAAAGTGCCTCTCCGCATCAGCAGGGACATCAACTCGTTCACCACACCAAGAACGCGCAAATTGCTGACGAGAAGGTACACTCTTCGATGACCGCCAGGTGCACTCCGACCCACTAGCATGGAAGTGGACACATTGGGACTAGGAAGAGCATTTTGCTCTACGAACAGGGGGTGCCCCGGTGTTCCATGTTAGTGAGTGGGGGAGCATTGAAAACGACTCAAGTCCGCCTCTGTGACGGGGCCATGTTGAAGCTTCCCGTGGGCTCGGTCATCGACGCGCACGAGAATCGGTGGTTGATAGACTTCTCAGCGCCAACGACTTTTCATCCAACAATCCTTTCGGTGCTGGTTGCCATACATATATACAATATACTCCCGAAAACCAACATAGACCCTGACAATGGTCCCATGGAAGACGATCTTCCTCTACCAACCAGGGGTTTTCAGGTTCCATGTTAGTCTTCCAGGGTGTACTTCTCTCCCTCTCTCTCTCTATCGTCTATACATTATATATCCACACCTATCATCACCCATCCTCTTTTGACTCCGAGAGCTCGAGTGCGGCCCTTTCCAGGGTGGCCCAGGTGAGGGCACTTCATGCTGCTGAGGGGCTGAATTGGTGGTGGTTGTGGTCATGGCTTCCACCAGTGACCACAACAAAAGAGCCTCGCGGCCGCGGTTTTCTGCTGTTCTCCTAGAGCTTCGGTCGCCTAGTGCTTCGGGGTGGGGAACCGATACATTCCGGACGTATCCATCACACAAGGCATGCCGAAGCTTTCTTGCCAAGTCGTTGGACACCTCAACGCCGCCTCGATGGTTGCTGGTCTGTTGCTGGTGAAACCGGAGGGGAACGACACCCGCAGGGTACACCCGCAGGGTGTCCGGAAACCAACGCGGGCAGAACAAGACCAGCCAAGCGCCCAAAACCCGAACGAGCCAAATGATCCAAACGATCTGTGTCCACGGGTTTTTCGCACAGTCTTCCCACTCAAGGAGGGAAGGCTGGAGAGGGAACCAGTTGCTGATGAGATGGTGGCATTACGGCATGGCTCTAAGTGAGAAGCTTGATCCACTCACCTTGATCCACTCCCTGGTTCTTCAGAACCTGAACCAGGGAGACTTGCTCGACAAGTGTGATGCCCTCCGGTCCGGTGCCACGGTCGTCGTCCTCCGGTCCTCCGGGACCAGGATGAAGCCGGGGACACTCTGCTGCTCTGCAGGTGGCTGAGACAACTTCCTTTGGTGCGTGCTAGTGTTCAAAAAGACCGTTCAAAGGCCTACGAAGAGTCAAAAGGTAGAAAAACGTATTGTGTTGCCGGCTGGTCATGCATTTCCTGCAGCTTTTTGTTGGTACATGTTTGTGCTAAACCTCAGTGGTTTGATTTAACCAACACCTCCATACCCCCAAAAAACAGACTTGGACTGCCAAGAAATGACGGTCATTCCCTGCGCCTGAATTGCTCGACGGAGGATGCCGCGCCCTGGCGACATGAGGGCAAAATACGGTAACCAGGGACATGCCCATGCCATAATTATATTGGAATGCACAATTCTATGTGCTTGCCGCCCCCCTTGCTGATGCAGCAACCACCTGGAAAAGAACTAGAACATCCTCAAAATCTTCTGGGGCCTGAATGGTCGGAAGTCTGTAGTTACTACACTGTAGCTTGCCCTGGTTCCCTCTTCCTTGGCACCTTCGGTTCGGTCCTCCCACTAGCTACAAACTGGGGTAGCTAGGCATGGGATGACACCTACATGAACCTGACCGTGACCCGAGCGCGGCCAAGACACGATAAAACCATGGGTTTTTGCATCCCACGGCAAAAACATAGTAAATACAAGTCTTTTTTTTGGCTTGCCGAGGATCAAACACATCGATACTTACGGTGCTTTTGGGTTCCTACTGCGAAAGCAACTAGTAAATATCACGTAAAACAACTAGTCGTCGCCTGCGCGCCTGTCCAACAAGCACTTGATCTTTTGCCCAACATGTCCAGTTTCGATGAAACATTGCATTGCAACTAGACCAGCTTGGGACGGGTAGTTACTGGCACCCCAGAACAAAAGGTTAGACGGGGCTCTATAAATTAGTAGAAACAATAAGCTACTAGGAACAAGTGCATCGCTTCTAGTAACAAGTGCCTTACTAGTAGTAACAAGAAGCTATTAGAAATTGTTTCTAATAGCTTCTTGTTACTACTAGTAAGGCCCTTGTTACTAGTAGCGATGCACTACTTGAGGCTTGTGCTACTAATCTCGAGATCCGTGACCGATCCAACACCCTGCCTCCAGTCTTTGGTCGCTTCTTCTCCGAAGGCCTTGACGGGACGCTCTCGATCCCTGCGCCTGCGGGAAAATGCGAGCTGAGACCGAGCCGAGTGGAGGAATCGCGGCGGGACACCTGGAGCATCCAAATTGATGAACGCCCAACGACTTCCACCCATGTTTCCAAGATGTTCCGAACTCGTGAGAACTCTGACTCAACATGTCTCAACAGATTCTGATCCGAATAAGAGGGTAACTAAGGACTGTTGCTTGCCAAATGTCATACCTTGAGCATCCATGCTCGTCCTGGGGAAGTGTTCCACTGGGTCGCAACGCATCTCTGTGGCCATGGGCCACTGGGGGGCCACGGGGCTGGCCACGGGGCATCTTATCTTGGATTTGCTGTCCGAGTATTATTGTTTAAGCATTCTAAATTAAACGACCACGAGCTCCATTATTTATTTTAGCTCTTTATTGAATTTAATATCATATAATAAGTATTATGGTTTATCGTTACGTACTTTTTAAAATCATTTTCACCATGTTCACCCACAGCGAGAATCGATATCGCCCGATCAGCAAAACCAGGTTATCATGCTGGACCTTTTGTGCGACTGGGTCAAGTGAGCACTCATCTTGGTCTATGGCCATCACAAATGCCTGGTCAAAATCCCGTTTTGCCTGGTCCTGAAACGACCCTCTACGTCTATTGAGTCTATTGTGTCCACGAGGGGCATCTTAGCACTGCGTCGCATGGGCGGCATGATCTCCCACAGAAACAAACAGGATTGTGCCACCAACTTTGAACCAGCCAGAATCCCTCCAGAGTGCATGTTTCAGGCGGAAATGAGGTGCCGGAGAAGATTGCCTTTATCCATGCTTAGGGAACAGCGAAGTGAACCTGACCTGAGCGCCACATGAGACTGTCTATTGCTAATCCTGCTCCAACAGGAAGCACGACATCCTGCTCCAACTACAAGCGCAACATCCCCAGTGAGCAGCGACCACTGTTGATGAATGACCGAATAACCCAAACATCGACTTTTCAGATCTTTTCAGCAATTTATCTCAAAGATCTCTCCACATATGATGGCGCTAGTCAGGACACCTTTCAACACTTGGGCAGCCTTGGCCTACAAAGTTGTACAATCATGTCCGGTCTCTGTGGCTCTCAATTGGTGCCTCAACAGCTAAAGCCAAGCGAGGGCGGCATGGCAACTGACCACACACATGTGGCAAACATCAAAGTAATTACGTTTTATGCTACTTGTTGCAGCGCTGGGCAAATGCAAAGAATCTGCTCTCCGCCTTCTTGCCAATGTGTCCATTCCTCTTGACAGCTCTCTCTGCGAAGGTGAAGGGTCATTCACTGTCCGAAGAGTCCGGTGAGTGATGAATCAACAAGCATAGCCCGTTCATGGTGACATAGCCCATACACCAAGTCAAGGCCAAACATGGAAGACTCTTCAGGGTTGCAATCCCCACTACTTTAAAACCAAGGCCGCGCAAAGCACATGATGTAAAGGTCAACCATACCCATTGCTCTTTTTGACTGGCCCATCAGCGGTTCAATAATTCTACATATAATATGTAATTACACATTCAGATGTAGACTTCAAAGACTTGAGCCAACAGTTCACTCGGCCATCCAAAAAGCTCTCGGAACTGGCAAAACCTTGTAAAACACTTCATCGACCTTTTTCAGGTTCCTCCAGTTTTGCGCCCCTGTTGAACGGCATCAGTGAGGCCAATGAATTGTCTTTCAGATTGCAGGACTTGGTCCACCACTTGTAGTTCCACCTTCACACAATTTGTTTCTGAACTCTTCTCCTGCAGGTTCATGTGGACTAGTAGGAATGTTAAGACCCTGTGGCACAAACGCAGGCCTCTGCGTGTTGCCGTGCATTTTTCTGTGAGAACCTTGCCCCGAGTCCCTGAAGACAAATCGCGCAAGCTCCAAAGACACGTAAAGCACACCAGCTTGGCAAACACCTTGTCTTGTCCACTCTTGTTGGGAACCCATTCATGGGTTGATTCATGGGAGAACAAAAAGACGTTGAACATCTTGAATAGTGGATCCTTTCCTTTTCCTCCTGCTGGTAAACACCACCCAATACAAAACGCTCGGAAGCACTACAATAGTTGTGGTTTTGAATTGGGGGTTTAGTTTACTAATGTCTTGTTCTTTTGAACAAGTAGCCTAGGTAGCCCTCGAGGTTGTCTGGATATCGTTTGTAGGGAGATGGTTTCTTTACAGAAAGCGGGCTGTGTGTATAATATACAGGAAAAAGGAGCATTCATGCGAACCCGCCATGATTTTTCAACGTGAACTGCCTGCCTTAAGAACACCTGATCAAGATTTGCCTATAGGCCAAAGATTGCATTCCGGCATGTGCACGGCATGTTACCCAGCTTTTCTTTGAAGACTCCGTTTTTAAACAAGACCATTCCACACCCTGTCTGTCTTTTTCGCTGGGCACCGTTTTGAGTCGTCCGAGTCGTCCATCCACGTCGTCTTCCAGTCGCCAAGGCCGTTGCCATGTGGTGAACACCGAAGCCGGGTGTGATGAAGAATATTAATAAGTGCATACATACCGTAAAAATATGTAAACATCATTAAAAATCAGTGAAATTGCTATCTTTTCTGGATGCTACAATGCTACAACTGAGATCTTCTGACATGACCCGTACGCGCCTACCGCCTACCATGAACATCTAAAATCCCAATGTCGCTATATACACGTCGCTTTGATCTGAACACGTCCCACTCGCTCCCGCGATATTTTTCACTCCAGATCTCCTCAAGTGGAACAGCTTCGCCAGTCCTGCGACCGGTTTTGGTCCGACCGGTCGCACTCCGGTTCAGAAGCGACCGGTTGGTCGCACCGGCGCATGGTTGCTACATGTTGCTACACAATCCACACAGGTGTTTTCTTCTACAGGTTTTGTAGTTCTTTATTCTTTGGGGTCAGAGTGACATAGCCTTTGTTTCCGCCACCCAAAAATGTAGCTAGACAGGAGATTGCACTTCCCTTCTTCGGCCTGACGTATCTAGGTTGAGCCACACACACATAACAAAACTCACAGTATGTTACTTACAGTATGTTCCAGTAGGTTATGTCAGTGGTATCTTTAGCCCTACTAGTCGTTTATATCTTTGGACATGGTCCAATCGCAATCGGTCTCGGATCCTTCCACCGGGGAATTCGTCTTACTCGTTGGCCAGTGGGGGCGCATCGTGACATTTCCCAACAACACACATGCATAAATTCAAATATATACATATACACATTGTAAAAAAGAAAACATATATAAATGTATTTATACATCTACGTATACATCATTATACAATATATAATACATATAACCGCGTTCTGACTGGGCGTTCCGAGTCCATCTCCAATAGGATCCACACTTGCCTGACCCACCTTTTCCAGCAAAAGGGTTCTCATAATCCTATGTTCTCATGAGTTGCTGTTGGACCAAGCGTGGCAGCGCAAGCTTGCTGCAATTCCAAGCCTACTTCAAGCTCATATTGCCCAGAATGCCTCGAATCTGTCTCTGCAGCTGACCCACTTTTATCGCACACATTGGTGCATGCTGAGCCGCAGGCGGTCTCGAGATTGTCTCGAGCGGCAACGGTCTGCCACTTACCTGTTCAAAACCGCCTGTGCCAGAAAATGGTCGCCTTTAAAGTGGCCTTCCTGAGTGACAGGAGAAGCCGAGGCTCTTTGCGCGTCATAGGCCCAAGACCCAACTAAACCGATAAAGCACTCTCCATGCAGATCAAACTGCCCATGCTGGACTGTAGCCTGACCAAAGGCACCTGGGAACAAAGCGTGTTGAAGCGCAAGCGCATTTGCACCAATGCTCTGAAGCATCGTCCTCGTTTTGGGGCCGCGACGCGCCGACACTTCTCCGACCAACGGGCATCCTGAAGCAGGTACTTTGAGAGGCTCAGTGGGACACTTTCAAGTCCGAGTAATTAATTACGTACATATATATATATATATATATTTGCTCTTGACAGGTGACACATGAAACAATGCCCCAGGAACCGACATAGACATGCCATGTATCTTTCCATGATCGTTGCACAAATTCCGTGCAGTCTGTTTCCGTCATCCTTCATGAGCCAGTGGTTGGATCTGACTACTATAAACTCCGCTTCGGATTGGTCACCCCTGCCCGATCGTCCGCCGTTGCTCCACGAAGCGACCTACTTCTTTGAATGATAAACGCGAGGTATTGGATGGTGTTGGTGACATTGAGAACCTGACCAGAGGCATCTGGTGAAGCAAACGCTTACTGCAGCGAACTTCTTCTATAGATTCTATCCTTTACGTTGCTGAGCCCTTAGGGCACTCTGGGCGGACATGCCAGGTTCTAGGGCGCTCACCAACAACATTTCACCAATCACGGGTTGTGTTCCTCTATTTATGAGCTAATCTTCCTACATCTTGTGCAACAGGAACATGCTGTAATCCCATTACTATATAGATATGCTGTAATCCCATTCGCCAACCTGGTTTTTAGCGTGCGAAAGGGACACCAAAGAACGGAGGCCAACATGGTCTGAGTGATGTCGTCAAACTGATGGCTTTTCTCAATCCATGACGATGCAAACATGTGCTATTGATGAACAACAAGCTTACTATCTCAAACAAGCTTACTATCAAATCCATGACGCACATCACGATTCATAAAGAAAACTAAAGCGAAGCCCAGGATCGCTGCTGGCATCGATGTCATTGCACAGGTTTGCGGCCTCCTGCTCTGGACAATTCCCTGACGTCTCAAGCGCGTTGGTGATCAGCGTCATGTTCTCAGCGCGGAAGAAGCGAGTTCGAACGCTTGTAGTTCGGAAGCAAAAAATATACACAAACACACATGCACACGCACAGGTCTCTGGTGTGCTTTCTTCTCTTTTTGCATCTTCCCATAGCTTGGTGTTCGCCCCACTCCGAAGCTTCCCAAGGTCACCGAGCGGAGGAAGCTTCGAGCCAACGGTTCTTTTTTCACGAGCGGCACGTGAAATAGTGCCAAACTGCAAAAGCTTCGTGGTGTCTTATCAAACAAAACACATCTAACAAAACAACACACACACATATATACTGTATATATATAATATATATAATATACTACCCCTGTGCCACACTACCCCTATTGTATAACCTGTGCATCCTCCACCCCATTATTTCGCAACAAACATATAGCATATAGTACAGGAATGCATTTGATATCATTAAATTAATAGTACACACGTGTCTCGTCCTCCCTCCCTGCGTGTGTTCTTCTCCGTGCCGGGCGGCGGAGAGATCGGCGTGGTTCCCGCTGCAGCTTTCTGGGGCGGTGCAAGAGGCTCCATCTAACCAGGTGAGGTCCCCGCTCTGCCAATAGTCCTCGGAGCCGGTGTGGGACGAGGTCCTGCTGTCGTCCACAGCTGAAAGAGGTGCCTTGATAGCAGTAGTCTGGACTTTAGGTTGGTGGAGCAGCTTGCAAAAGAGTTTCCTGATTCCATGGATTTCATGATTGCATAGAGGATCTTGTAGGTCAACTTCTCATTTGCAAGATCACTTTGGGATGATTCAGCTGATCTAGGAGTAAACAATTGGTATCTTATCAGTTGGGGGGTAAACCTCATTTGCTGAGCTCGCAAGAAAGAAGCCGCTTGACATGGGTGGGGCTTTGTCCTTCCAAAGGTCCAAATACCTCCGCAGCGGCGCGCAGCGGAAGACTTGTGGTCGGCTCAGCCATGCTCCCCAAAGCCACTAGAGCCCACATGAGCCCACAGTCAGTCACCATCCGCCAACACCATACCACAGTCACAGTCCCAAATCCTCAGCCGTGCTCCCCTTGGCAGTCACCATCCGCCCGGAATTGGCGGTCGAGAGTCGATGACCAGGACCATCCCATCAGCGAGGTTCTCCCACTGGACCTGGAACAACGGCCCAAACGAGACGATGCGACAGCATAGAGCTAAGGACTTGGAAAGGACAGTGGATTTAGAGTAAATAGGCCACCAACTAGATAGATAGAAACAGTAGATCCATGTAAAATGTAAATCCCCATGTAGAACATGTATTGGAAACGAGACATGGTGAAAACGGGTTGCAAACGACCAAACCCAAGCCTGTGGGCATTGTGGGCATTGGTCACCATCGCGAATCCAAAGGGAAAGGAGTTCATCATCGCCCACTTTTCAAGGAGTCTAAGAATGCACATTCCTGTTGGTTTTCAAGCATTCAAATGATTTAAATGTAACTCGCACGAACCACACCCACATATCACTCGTCAATTTTGCCAGCGGCACATTCAAGGGGCTACCAATGCCACCCATGCTCTTGGTGACCTCGGGCAATGGCTCTTGATGAGTCCCTGTCATGAACTACAAATTTCTACATGTTATTTTTTCCAATGAATCTTTGTCACGCTTTACGATTCGTAAAACAAACGCTGTCCCACGAGCCGATTTTATTTTTGACATACGGTTGGGCCAATATTAACATATGCTGAACCCTAAGTGAGGAACCAAATATGTGCGAAGTATCCCCATGGTTTCCTCCCTGATTGACCGGATTTGAGCTCCATGTGCCAGGTTCCTTCCTTCGTCCCTGGTTCCTTGGGAAGCGTCTCCAGGGCGGAAACCAACATGTTAGGGTAGGCTGGCAGGCAACATATTCATTGGTAAGTACTACCCTCGCCTCGACAAAATGCCCGTCCTGAGTTTCTGGACTCAAGCATAACATAGACATACATAGACAAGTAAGTAATGTCCAGTTCTTAAGTGACAGTCTGGGTAGAAATGGAAGTTGATTGATCTTGGGCGGGGGGAAGTGTTTTCCTACATCTGACTACCCTGCCCTTGTGGCACTCTCTTGTCATATTCCAGCCTAACAACCAAACAACTGTGACTACAGCGATGGGCTGCGACGCGCGCGGTCCAGTTTTGGAGCCGGGCGGTCTTTCCATTCTGCCAGAGCCGGGCGTAAACCTGGCTTGTGGCAGCTGCAAGTACCAGGAGGTGTTGCACTAGAGCTTTCCAAAATACTGAATTTGACCTGCAAACTTGCTCTCTACAATCCAACGGCTTTGTAATTGGTCTCGAGCACCCAGAATGCACACAAGGGTGTTGGAAGGGGCCCTCAATCCACTTCGGCAACTAATTACATTGTACAAAAACCCTGACACTGCGCACTCGCACACATATATATATATATATAGTGTTGCGTACGGTTATATGAATATACATATATATATATGTTGTAATATATCATATATCACTACACCACACTACACCATAGTCCATAGTGCACACTTGTCAGCCACGATGGTCTACCTGGTTGACCTGCCTCAAGGTAGTTCTGCGTGGAGTCCGAAGGGTTGATATTCTCCTGCGCTTGGAGCGAGAAGTTGAACACATAGTCCGTGTCCTTAGCGGAATGCTCCTTCCACCCAACGCCGGAACTGCCACCGCCACCACACAGCAAAACTCCTGGTCGTGTTGAAGGTTGATGAAACATGATTATATAAACACATTTAAACACCCTCCATTTGGATTGTAAAAGCGTAAAGCCTCTTCTACCTCTCGCGGCCACAACGATTCCCCTCGTTTGAGGTGGCCAGTGCCGCCAGCGTTCCACTGGAGCGGCATTCGAAAAGAGTCTTTCTACAGGACGGAAGCAAAACACTATCGAAATTCGGCAACAGCAAAAGCCCAAGAGGACATCGCGGCCCCTGTCACCTTGCGTGACACAAGTGTGAGCAACATCAGGGCATCGTCACAAAAGTAGGGTCGAGCACCACACAGCGAACCCGGGGGCAT